TAAGTTGTGAAATCTTGTAATAAAAAGGATCCAAAAATCTTTAGTTATTCCTTCTATGCTCTTATTAATAATATCTGTAAAAATAAACTATTTAATAAGTTTTCATATCTTGTATCTAAAATAATAATATTTTTCAGCATAGTAATCTTGCTAAGAGCAACAAAATAAACTCTACTAATTTCACCTGTTTTATATGAATTAAGGTTAATTTTAAGTTGCATATTTGCTAGATTATTATCATTCTTATGTATTTATACTAATAATCTTTTTTTTTATTATAGATATGTCTTTAATTAATATTTCAGAAGTTGTCCTATTTTTGGCCTTTATGTGTTTAATGATATTCACTAAGAAGATTCACATTTATTTAATTTTAATTATCATATACTTTGTTATGTATGTTGTCAAATAGCAACTTACTGCGAAACTCAACATACATGTGGAAAGATTGATTGTAGATTTTACAGCATGGGATGCTATATTTGTTGTCAAGAGATAAAGAATTCTGATAATAGTAAATACTGTAATTAAAACTATTAATAAAATTACTACTAAATATAAATCTTTTTGTGACTAGTTGAACCAAATAACTGAGACAAATTCTGTAGTATCATTAATATCTAAACAATTTGCTGACTCATCTGTACTTATATTCAATTTTTCTTAAAGGTCTTCTGGTTTTTCTTTCAGATCTTCTGATTCTTCTCTAGGTTCTTTTAGTAGCTCAAGCCAATTATCTTTTTCTGATATTACCTCAATAACCAGAAATCACTTTAAAATTCTTTTTGATAAGATTATAACAGACAATAATTATTCTTTAGATAATATGTGTAATATAGTATCTGTTGAGATTCATAGTCTTGAAATAAGAAAGATTAATAAAGAAACTATAAAAAATTTTTATTATAATAATAGTGATTTTAGAGATAATACTTTAAATAAAATAGATGCTTAGATCGATAGCAAAAATAATTTTAACTTAGCTAATAATATGGAATAGAAGAAAAGAACTTTTATTTTATAGGTTAGGGCTTGAGAAATTTTTCTCTTTAAATATTTGCTACTCCAATATTCATTTTTTTCATTATATCAGCCTGCTTATATAAAATAATAAAGTTATACAGTATATATTATTACTTGATTTTTAAATATGTTCACTTAGAATAAATTCAAAATTTCATATAGGGCTTATCATTTTATATATAATTTGTTTGTAAGACAGGGCACAAGATGCTACATATTATAGGTTCAGAGTTAGTATCTAAAGACATATTATAAAAAATTTTAGCTACATGTTAATTAATATATAATAATGAAAAATCTAAATAATATATATAGAGAAACCTATAGCAAAAGGTAGTTTTAGGACAACTAATCAAAATTTGAGATTTTATAGAATAGGTAACATACAAATAGATATTTTTATAAAAACAATTTTTAATAGTTAAATTTATTAATAAAAAAGTATATAATTTCACTTAATTATTTTGATACTATTATATAAATAATAATCATATGGGCTGCCGTCAATAGAAATCAAGCAGATCTACAAAAATCTAATTTTGAGATAATTGATATTTTTTGTAACATTACACAAAAGGATCTTCAAATAAACAGTTCCCGACCTTAATTCTGATCCACATCGGAAAAAGTAGATCGCTGTAACTAATAAGCATAACTGATATACTGAACAACGTATGTGCTCAAGTATAAGATTTCCCTCTCTCTTTTATTATTTATTTATTTATTGTTTATTTATTTATTAAAAGTAACCATACTTTTTAGAGATTAGAAACGTGTATTCCAAAGTTGTCCAAGATACATTATCGTTATGAGACTAAATCCGAATACGATCCTTTCAAAGAAGTTGTTAATTGACATTATTGTAATTATTTTTAAACAAAATAAAGCATTTTAAATTAAATTATTTAATAATAATAGTAGTATTGTTAGTAATGATTTTATAAATAGTTGTAAAATTTTTCATCAACGCAAATAATGATTTATAAAAATAGACCTTTTTTATTTATCTCTTAAATCGTTTCTCTTGCAAATCTGCCCTGAAATTTTTTAAAAATTTGTTTTTTGCCAATATATCAGGATCCTGTAATCAGAATTTAATGATTCTAGTGCCATTCAATTCGTCTCGACAAGACGATTTGAATGGTGTCAAAATCATTAAATTCTGATTACTAACTCTAGAGATATTTGCAAAAAACAATTTGCAACGCAGCCCTACAGAAATTTAAGGTTTTTGTACGGCAGATAGTTTTGTGCAAATAACTCATGATTTAGTGAACTGGATGTAACGATTTTGATACCATTTGAACCGTCTCGTCGAGATGAATCGAATGATATCAAAACCATTAATTTCTCATTACATGATCATGATATATTAATATTTAAATAATTTTTACCCTTAAACCGTTTCTCCTGCAAATTTGCCCTGAAATAATGAATTTTGATTGGCAACTCATGTAATACTTGTATTATCTTATAATTAAGGTTGTAAAAAATCTCGATTTAGAAATTCATAAAATCCTGGTTTTATTCTATTTAGACATTCATAAATTTCTTGCATTCTACAAGAATTATGATCATCAGATCGATCATTCAGGTTCAATCATCTTTACATCACCTTTTTTTTTATCATTATTATTTTTCTCTTGTTAATTTTTTTTTTACATTCTTATTTTTAGATGAAATATGAGTGCAGATATTGAAGATAATGACTCATATACTGAGTTTACATGAATAATTACCGAAATTGAGAATAAAATCACGGTCAATGATCCTACAGATAATGATATTGCAGAAGAATTTGAGGAAGAAACTGATGACGAAACTAAAAATGAAAAGTACCATGAGCATAAATAAATAAAATAAATAATATTTTTATATTTATTTATAATGTATTGTATAATTTATGTTATTATTTTTTGTGTATTTATAATACACGTGATTATCGGAAAATTTCAGGACAGATCTGCCCTGAATTTCAAACGGTTTAAGAGATAATGCAAATTGAATTTTTACTTTTTCATAGATTTCAGGCTTCTACATCATGAGCTATTAGTAAGCATTATTAACCTCTAGTTAATAAACACGAAATTATTAATTCTGTTCAAGTTACTATTGGCTACTGTATACAGTATCCAAGGTCTTATTCAAGAACTCCATTTTTAAAAATTGAATAGTAACTGTGGATACTGCGTGAAGAACCGAGTATTTATATTTGGGGAAATATCATATTAAAAGCAGTAAATCAAAGTTATACCCTCGAGAAACAGGATGATAGAGATGATGAATAATAACCGGATCTTAGTAGGTTCCAGATTAGTTGATTAGTGGGTATTAGATTATTTCTACTGCATATAGATCGATCTTTTATAAACCTCTAAAGTAATTGAGTATGAATATTTTTATTAATACCTTTAATATTCTCATAAAACATGTTCAAGTTATAAGCGTACTATTTAATTCTCATATAATTTATATATAAACTATTCTTTCTTTTTTTTTTTAAAAAAAAAAAACACCTATTCGCTAACCAAAATTGTTTGTACAGTATATTGTTATATTTTTTATAAAGTTATAAGGTATAAAGCCAAAAAACTAGTAAGAAATTGTTACTTATTTTGCTTTTTTGGTTTAGCCTGCTGTGGCCTTGGACAATAAAAATCACGCTTGGATAAATTTTGAATATGTGGTCTTACTTCCTCAAAAAGGTACCACTGCCGTTCCAAACTTAAGCCAGAAGGAGTTATTTCATCAGGAAATTCATCTTTACTAGGTGGTTTGGTATTTGTACAAAGTAAATTCACTGTTGTCTTGTTATTATTAATTGCTAATTTGACATCAACTTTTCCTATAGAATCATGACTTAGTATAAAGTGATGCTGTCGAAGAATTGATGGAATTGTCAAAAAATAAGTATTTAAAAATTTTGTCTATTGATAAAATTTAACCTGCATTGAGCCATCTGGTTTACTAAGAGTCTGTATAATATTATACCTGTCTACTATAGAACGATTAACAACCTGAACAAGATCATCTAAGTCATCTACTTCTGAATTACGTAATTTAAGTTTAAAAAGTCTGAAAAAGCCATCAGGGCTAAACTTGGTATGTCCGGTGACCATAAATGAGTAAGTAATGTTTTCATGTAGTCCATTTATGATTTACCATGCGAAATATTTAATTACTGCATTATTCTTGCTCTGTCTTGCGCAGTTATCTGCATGGATAGTTACACATTTTTCACCGAGCCCATGTAAACAAAAATAATTGTAGACTAATGAAATTACGACATCAGCACTTTTTCCAACGCTTTGGTTTTCAGGTATTAAATAATTTACCTTTAATATATATTTTAATATACAGTAAATAGACTTACTAAATTTAATAAAAATATGACAGTGTGAAACCCATACTGAATTCTGGTTAAATTTGCTAGATATATCATATCAATATCGATATACGTAAGAGTGAAATTTGTATTATTATACTGAAATAACCTGTTATAAAATTTACTAATATACATAATACATATCTTGGTTATACATATAATCTAAAATAGCAAACACTAATGCTAATTTTACTCTAATATGTACGTATACGTATAGTATAAATTTAACTAGAATTCGGTATAAGTTTCATGCTAACCTATAATAATTTGAATTATATATATACTTGTCGTGGAAATGCTTCTTCGCATATGCCAAAAACTCCAACTTTAAATAAAGATTTAAAATAGACGGTACCCTGTATTTAAAAAATAACAATATTTAATAAGTATAATAAAAACTTAAATATATAAAATAAACTTTCCTCCTGTTGCGATGAAAAGGGTAAATAGACACTTTCGGCAAAGTCTCACGAGATGTGATTTTCTATATTTTGTGAATTTGAAATACCTGGCCGTAATAAATTATTAAATTTTTCAATTTCTTTTTTAGAAGTAACAATACATTTTCTGAATATTTAATGAAGTTAGTTTTAAATTTATTTATATTACAGTTAGAGCATAATATATTATATCATAATTTTACTTACCGATAATATTCTTGTTCCAAACTAGCCCAAGAATAATGATTAGACCATTCATTTAATTTATTTAATGTTTCACTTTGAGACCACCGCTTAGCACTAAATCTCATTTCTTTATATTTCATACAAAGATCACTACGTGCAGTTAAAAATTTAATTCTCAGAAGGTAATGTTTCCAAATTCGGCTAAAGCTTGATTAACTAACTACATAATTACTTTTATCAATATCAATTGTATCAATGTAGAGACGAAATAATGAATAATAACTTTTACATGCTGGTAAGTATATAATAAGGCGTGTATCTTTACAAAAGTGGCGACCTATTTTAACTATAATTTATTAATATAATTTATTTTAATATATATAGATACCACCAAAAAAAAAACCTGTCATCAGACTTTTAATTATAATTGAAAGTCTGATAGTGGTTTTTCTTTGACGGTACTCATATTAAACAAATCTTAAATATTACCAGGTGAAGGAAGACCATGTTGTGTTGCAAAATTTTAAATAAATGTTAATATATGTAATACTGTTTCAAATTTAATAGCATGGTTACTAATACATCCTTTAAGACCGTGAGTAATAAGACTTATATCATTGTTTGAATAATGTGCTCGAATAGCTTTCTACTTTGATTTTCCAATTGTATAGATAGTAAGCCAGGATTTTTGACAAATCGAAACTCCTTGAAAATTATAATTACTTGTTATAAGCTGTTTTACTTCTCCACGGTCTGTAGTTTGTTGTCATATACTAGCCTCAAGAATTCTTAAAAAAAAATATTTTTTTCATCTGCTAATATTGATTTAATTTTATAAAATCGCTTAAAGGCTTCATCATGGTTAATGGTAGTGTTAAAGCATTTTTTAGAGCAGCAAACTGTCTGCTAAATTTTTGTTAAAAATGCTTTATTGTCTTGTTCAGACATTTTATTTTTTTTTCTTCGCATTCAATAAAATTTTGTATTAAATTAGTTTGATAGATTTGACGAAAGAATACAATTTCTTGCTGTGTAAAACAATATGACTCAAAACTATCATTAGTTTGTTTTATTATGCTATCATCTGTCTGACTTTCAATAAAAAACTCTTCATCATCTACTATTTCATCGCTATCATCATTCGTATTATA